AACAAATAAAAGGTGATAAATATATGGGTTAAGTCACCTGCCATGTGAACCGTTTATTATTATATGATTTTAATAGATGCATCTATTCTATGGTCACATGTGCATTTGTTATCAACTTGCAGTTTGGTTTTTGCAAGATTGTTTGCTCAAGTTATTAGAGCACAATTCCAGAATATAAATTATGATGATTTATCTTAATAATACTGGTTTAAATCTAAGTTGGTTTAGCAGAATTTGTATGCCTCCAATTATAGCTAAATCATTGGTTATGAGAACAAAATTCCCAAAAACAAAATTTGATATGAGATGTATTATTTAATATGCAACATCACTTGTACGCATCTAGCCGAGTTATAAAAATTGACATAGCATCCAATTCCATTTATTTGCAATATCTATTTGTTTTAGGAGAATTTTTCCTTTGTTTTGGGTTGCCGCTGTTTCTGCTTTCAGAAAAGATCACTTTGTTTAAAAAAAAAAAAAAAAAAAAAAAACCCTATCCTGATTAGACCATAGATAATAGAGGTTAATATTATTTTCATGAGCACGTCCCTATCTTCTTTTCCAGGAATTTCTCGAGTAGCTCCACGTCACTATAGATCACTTTGTTTCTTTTCGTAATGTTGTTTCTTCATTTGGATTTACGGAGAACATTATGGATCAGTGTATATACTTTAAGATAAGTGGGAGCAAATATATTTTTCTAGTCTTATATGTGGATGATATTTTGCTTGCAAGTAGTGATTTGGGATTGTTGCACGAGACTAAACAGTTCCTTATCCATAATTTTGAGATGAAGGATATGGGTGAAGCCTCTTATGTCATTGGCATAAGAGGCTTGTGAAGCCTCTTATGTCACCCATAATTAAAGGTGACAAATTCTCATTGAATCAATGTCCACAAAATACATTGGAAAAGGGGCAAATGAAAGACATTCCCTATGCTTCGCTTGTTGGGAGCCTTATGTATGCACAGGGCTGTACTATACCTGATATTGCTTTTGCGGTAGGAATGCTTGGCAGATATCAAAGTAACCCTGGTCTTGACCATTGGAAAGCTGGTTAAAGGGTCTTGAGATATTTGCAAGGAACCAAGGATTTTAAGCTCACATACAAATGCTCTGACCCATTGGAGATGATTGGATATTCAGACTCTGATTTGGGTGGATGCAAAGGCACTGGTAAATCTACTTCAGGATACATTTTCCTTCTTGATGGAGGTGTTGTGTCTTGGAGAAGTGTCAAGCAGACCATTGTTGCAACATCCACAATGGAAGCTGAATTTATAGCATGCTATGAAGCTACATCACAGGCGTTATGGTTGAAAAACTTTATTTCCGGCCTTAGAATTGTCGATTCCATTTCAAGGCCATTGAGAATTTTTTGTGACAATTCAGCTGCAGTTTTCTTTTCTAAGAATACTAGAAGTGGCAGCCGAAGCAAGCACATCGACATAAAGTACTTGATGGTTAGAGACTATGTGAAGAAGCAAGATGTGAATTTTGAGCATGTTAGTACTGCTTTGATGATTGCTGATCCTATGACTAAAGGCCTGCCGGCTAATATTTTCAAGGATCATGTAACCCATATGGGGCTTAGTAGCTCAATTTAGTCTTGCTTTGCTCTCTAACAGTTTGTCTAGACATTATGTTTATTTTGACATACATGATAGTGCACATTTTGGGTTTTTCATGTATTATTTATGATCATTGGATCAATAAAGTTGAACTCTGAATGACTTATATTAGGTCATTCGTAAAGTTGTTAGACGCTTTGTTAGAATATATTGTTCATTGTAATACATGGAAGGAAGTGTTTGTTAAAAACATGACCGCCATAATTCGTATAATAATATATTCTAGTTAAAGTGGTTGTTGCATAACTTTTAGTTGAGTGATAAAGTTTATGACCATATTATATGTTTATCTCTCATAAAGGATTATGTGATTTTAGTATGTGGGCCAAGTGGAAGAATGTTAGAAATAACCGTCTCTTCTAGAGACTTCTAGTGTGGCCCACATATAAGGTAATAAATTATTTACCTTGTCTCCCAAAGGAAATAATATATCAGATAATACTTTGTAGTTATGCATATATGGTAGTTTCTTTGATGGAAAGAAATTACCATATATTAGGAGTCTCTAGGGTAATTATAATTTATGGAGAAGTCCCTAGGGCTAAAGTATTTGCCTAAGAGTCCCTAGCCTACCTATAAATACGTATGTGACTCCATTAGTCCGGCATTCTACGATAAGCACAGACTCGAAGACTCCCTAGGTTTTCTGTCAAAGTTTTACAAGGCGATTCAACAACACTTGAACAACTATGGCTGAAAATACGTTCATTGTATAATTTTCGCTGCATTGGCTTTGTATGTATATTCGAATTTCAACAAAAGGTAAACCAAATTTTTTCTCTCAAGGATCCTATTAAATAGAAATAGAGAAGAAAATAGCTAGAAAACTTGAATTCATTCTGCATCCTCAAATTCAAAGATACGGACGTTTCTCAGCGTCGAATAATCAAATACTATGTAATAATATATATATATATATCAAGCACGTGTATAAATTAAACTATGACAATAGGCTGATATAGCAATTGAGTTCCAAAATGACAAAATTGATAATTTATCTACCTTGGTTCTTGATTTTATCACTCAGCCAAATAATTGTCCAAAAATATGTTACATTATCTTTTTTTTTTTTTTTTCAGAGAGAAGCTTTTTCTTTACACTTCTTAATATGTTATATGTATTTTGTCACTTTTTGTAGTTAAAAATCTTCCTCAGGTCAAATTTATCCGGCAGATGTATAATATCAGTATAATTTATCCGACAAATATGTATAATCTTGTATAATCAGTATATATTGGATAGAAAAAATAAACACCGCCAGCTATTTGTCTAAAAGGTTCCTTTTCATTTTATCTACTCCTTAAATTCCATTTCCTTTGTCACCTTCTTCGATTTTTCTGTATGTATGTGAGTATGTCCCAACACTTTGTCACCTTTCCCAACAGTTAGTTTATTCTAAATTAGCATTAATTAATTACTGTATAAGCTATTTTAAGATATAAAAATTTTGAACGTACATTAGATCTCTTTTTATTAAGGTATATAGAATTCGGATTTTACCTTAATTATCGTGAAGAAAACAAAAGGTGCAGTGAATCAGGGGTAGAAGTAGTGTGAATTACTTCAAAATAGAATATTATGGTATATCCTGGTCTCAGGTTGCCACTCCCATCCTTTTCTGTATACGCTAAAACATGGCTCCACCGACCACTATCAATGTTCCCTTCTATACATAATAAATAATACTATTATATTCAGATCAATTTATGCATATCTTGATTATTCTATCACTGTTGAAAACATAATTAAGCAAATAAAAATATACTCTTTTTAACCGTTTAAGCTTTTAGGTGAGATAGTCTATCACTTTATATGATATCAAAGTAGGCAAAGGTCCTGGATTCGAGTCTCATCGCCACCCAATATCAAAATAATTTTACGTGTTTGGTCATCAAAAAGAATCAACTCACGTAAGGGGCGTGTTGAAGATATAATTTATAAATAGAAGTGTGCTCTCTTTAACGGCTTAAACATTTAAATTAGATGGTTACACAATTACGTATATTATCAACGCATGTACCATATAACTCTACTTATAAAAGCTTAAAATGAAATTATCTAGTGAATATAATCTCCATTAAAATTGAAATCTTAGTTTCTCGTGATTTATGTTCACTTTATTGATCACTAAATCAGGCAGCATGATCCTTTGCCCCTTTCAAAGATAAGGTTTCCACTCTTTACTTTCTATATGCATGTAGTATTGTCTGCAATTTTGCCAAGTGTTACATTTTAGTACTATGAACTCAATCTTTCAGAATTAAAGACATGTATGATGGAGCTAAGATTCGGGTTAGGACAGTAGGAGACGACTCTGAACATTTTCCAGTTATTACGGGGTTACACCAAGGGTCTGCGCTCAGCCCATTTCTATTTGCCCTGGTGATGGATGCACTGACTCATCATATTCAAGGGGAGGGGCCATGGTGCATGCTATTTGCTGATGACATTATTCTAATTGACGAGACACGAGGCGGCGTCAACGAGAGGCTAGAGAT